AGCCCTAAACCCTATCCCTATAAACCTTAAACCCTAATTAACCTATGAAACCTCCAAACCTACAAGCCCTAGGCCTGCTAATCCCTGAGCCCTTTCATATCTCCTCCAAGATCCTCGGAATCGAAACGGTGGTTGAGGGTTTAGGGGTTTTAGGGTTTAGGGCTTTAGGGGTTTATAGGGGTTTTGGGTTTTGGGGTTTAGGAGTTCCGGGTTTAGGGTTTATCGGATTTAGGGATTTAGGGTTTATAGGGGTTTAGGCGTTTAGGCGTTTAGGGGTTTAGGGTTTAGGGGTTTAGAGTTTAGGATCCGGTTCATTTGCAAAATCTTCGGTCTCCCCCACTCTTTCCTATCTAGCTGTGGGCACATATAGACAGACAGACATTATTGTAGAGTGCCCTTTATAAGCCTTGAACCCGAGACCTTAATCCCTAAACCCAACATCAAAGCACCCTAAAACTGCCCTAAAACCCAAGACCCACCCCCAAGTCCCTAAACCTTATAAAGTCTGCAGATGCATTGCAGGGCCCGGAGCTTGACCTGACCGTTGTAGGTTGCTGGGTTTCTACAAGGATGTGCTTTAATGAGGGCTTTCTACATACAGTTTTGTGGGTTCAGGGCTCAGGGCTTTGATGATTTCTGTAGAGTTTTTGCCTTTTTTTTTTGCGAGTGCTGCAATCAGGCACCTTCTATCACATTTCTTGGCGGCTCAGGGAGTCTCAGGAAGTCGCACAACAAGTTTTCCAAATCGGAACACTTGTCACCTACGCTGGTTAGGGATTAGGGAGTTTGATAGGGGGAGCTTAACAGGCTGTAAAGCCCTTAAAGGAATCGCGTTTTTTTCTACAGTATTCCACGTTTTCGGATCGGGAGTATAGCTGCACAAACCCTGCGCATCAGGAATGGAAAGAAGCAACGTATGCAAGCCCCTAAAACTACGAAACCTGGCGGCTACACCGGACCACTGCAATCCTGCAGCCCTACACAGAGGTGTGGGGGTTTTCGACTACGGGCTGATCTTGCAACTCCTAATTCTGCGAGATTTCGGGCGGAGCATTGTTCCGTCATTTTTTGGTTTTGGAGATGTGGGCTTTGAAATCATTGAACCTGAGCTCCACAAACTCCTCGGCTAACGAAGGCATGGCTCGTCATTTTTGTCCGCTGCACTGTGCTTCCTCGGGCTCGCGCTGCCACTCGGCGGTTCAAGGTTTAAGCCTTTGGACCTTGGAGTTTGGAGTAAAAGGGTTGAGAGGTCGGAGTTCTGCCTTCATTTCACCTTCAAGCATACGGATCCCAGGGTTGGAGCACTCAACAGCAGTGTGCAGGTTTGTGCATGAAGCTCCTTACTGGAAGGAGAGGAAGAGAGCTCTTCGGGTGCAGATTCAGACCTGTAATACACAATATACAATTACACACATGTGTATACATGTATATGTACAGAACTACAGAGACATACAGACCTGAGTGCATGAATGCACGATTGCGCATACAGAGAGAGAGAGAGAGAGAGAGATGCCACTCATTCAGTTCATTCGTTCATTCATTCATCCACTCTTTTCTTCGCTGATTCATTCGCTATGTCGTATGCATCTGTTGACTCACACACATATGTACATGCGTAAGTAGAGCATGCATGCACATGCGCATGACGAGGAGGTTGAGACTGTGAACTGTTTCCATGTGTGGCTCCGGATGACTGCAATCCATGCTGCTCTGATAGGTGTTCGAGGCTGTAAAACTTCATGCGCTTTGGATGCGGGGGCTGGGGGTTTTGAGGATGTGAACGAAGGTGTAGGTTTGTGTGTAGATATTCATGGGTGGTGGGGCTTTGGGGTTGTAGGGCCCGCATCTGCAAAGGACCCTTATAGACACCCTTATAAGTATCCTTATAGAAAGCCTTATAGAAACTCTTATAGAAACCTTATAAGTACCCTTATAGAAAGCCTTACAAAGGACCTTCTGCGGCCACCTTTTGTACCGGCGGGCCTTTCGCATCTTCGTGGGTGTCCTGGCATTTGCTGCTCAGGCAGCCATCGGCGCCCCGGCGACGACGTTCTGCGGTTTTGTCTTTGGGAGTTTCGGACTTTAAATAGGCCCACCCAAAGGATCCTAATACCAAGAAAACCAGGTTCTTAGTTCTTAGTAGATATTTGGGGCTCACAGTTATGTACACTACACTGTTAGTTGGACCCTTTGGGCTAGCCGGCTAACCTAGAGATGAGTTGTCTTGTTTAACGCTCACAAACATTCAAACCTTAGTTTAACAATAGACTCAATGTACTTAGGATTCCCATGCCCCTTATTCTGCTAATATGGGGTTGTAGGAAACCCTAAACCCTAAACCCTTATGATGCTGATGTAGGAATCCCTTTCATAAACAGGTACACGACAGAATCACCAGTCTTTCGAGCCGAACAGTCTCCAAACTTACACCTGTTGTGGCTTTGTGGCGTTTTTGTTAGGGCTTGGGGTTTAGGGTTTAGGGTTACCGTCGCACATCAGCTCCCAGCACGGTAAAGCCCCAAAACCCCTCAACTCGTAAAGCCTACACCCTGGAGTCCTTTAGATGTTGTGTGTTCAAGGGAGGGTATCTACAAGCCTTCTTCCACAGATGCCGGACTTCCATGTCGAAAGAGTTGAATAGGTGCGCTCAGGGTTTCGGGTCTTTCCTACTACCACCTCCTACTGCTACTACGACGACTACTACTACTGCTACTTCTACTACTACCACCACTACTACTCCTACTACTACTACTACTACTACTACGACGAAGCCTTCCCCGGCTCACCGGGCTCTGAGAGTCCGCCAGGCAGTAGTTGGTTACGCGCCTCTTCGGGAGCACAAGTTGGAAAGAAGATCGTGATCTCATGTTGCCCCTTGCCCTCGATGGCCCTTGAAAAATGGGAAGGGTTTAGGGTTTACCGCACCTAGTGGCCGAAATGAGGGGGTCATGTCTTTTTGTTTGAGGATCTTCCTCCTTTCAAGTCTGCATGCGACTGTCACGTTGCTTCCTGAGGCTCACTTCTCTGAGGTGCCTCTGGCAACCTCCGGGCTCTGATTCGGGGTCTTCCTGAAAAAAAGAAATCAGGGCTACCTCATTTGGGTCGTATTATATATATATACACACATACATACCGGCCTTCTAGAGCTCTATAAGGGTCCTAAATGTCATTATTAGTTTAACCCAGGGTGACTTTGTTTGCATGCCAAAGTCCTCTGCAGTCATTTGTTCATGCTGAAATCATACAACAGTCCGAGCCGGGATCAGAAATTCCGGAAGCAATGGGATTTGCGGCTTTGTTGCTCACAAACGTCCCCACCGACTTGTGAGGGCTGCTGTGCACTTGGAGCCTGTCTTCATGCGCTGTGGGATTGGATACCCTTTGGCTAACCCCAGGGTTAGATGCAGTTTTCTTGGGTCTCCAGGTAAGCCAACTCGCGAGGTGACGGAACGCACGAGCTCTTGCTTCAAGAACAAGCTATACAAGGCGTCAATATCTCCAAACTCAAACAGCTTAAAGATTAAACCTTGTTTTGCCCTTAAAAGCACATTAGCCCGAAGCCCCTCAAGCTCTGAGCAGGTTGTGGTGTTAGGATGATGTGGAGTTCGAGGATAGAGGTTCCAGAAAGAAACGGTTTGGGGTCGAGGTTGAGGGTAATCCGACCAAGCCCAAGCCGCTAGCGAGCATACCCTGTGCCCAAACGGAGGCTGTGTCTTGTGGGCCCTCGCGGCACGTTCAGCCGCCGCTTGCCTGCTTGTTGTTGGGATCGTTTCCTCAGGTTTTCCTGTGATTGGCAACTGAACTTCTGGTTTATAGTTGAGATGGCCTTGTTGACAATGTTTCCAAGGGCTGTGTGACGAAAGGATATGCGGGCTCCCCTCCAAGAGTTCATCACCGATGTCCAGCGGGTACATTGCGGGAATTGTTGAAGACGTGAGCCCAAAGCGAAGCGTAATGTTTGTAAGGGTCAGAGTCATCACTGATGATAATCCTCCTTTAAGCGTGCCTGAATCTTTATGACTCTTTCAGAAAATATAAGCTCATTGTATATTAACTAGTCGTCAAGACGACAGTTCGGCGGGGCTCAAGGCTCGATTTCCGTTCTCAACGGCAGTAGTTCATGGTGGTGCTCTCAGTCTTAACTAGTCACTACAGCTCTTCGGCATAGGCGATGAGAATGACGCTCTTTCGTTTCGAAACGCACCCTAGTGCACTCAAGCACTAGATCCTCTCCCTTACTACGGTTGTTGATATAAATCCTGCATTACCCAGAATAGGGAATATACCAGAAATTGCATAGTTTAGGGTCCTTAAGGTAATGCAGGATTTGTATCATCCTGACCTGTAACTCTTACCCTTCGTTGGCCCCGAGCACTCGAAGCCGTCTACAAGGCTCCCAAACTGAAGCAGTTTGTGGATCTCATTTTGGAGGCCCTTCTGGGCACAGTTTTGGGCAGCTTGGCTGCGTGCTATACCGTCTAGACGAGGGTTTTAGGAAAGCGGGGAGTTTTGGGGTTTAGGGACTTTTGAAATTGGGTCTAGGGACTGACGGTTGCGATGGCTTAGGGCTGTTTTTGTAGGGACTCAGGTTTTGGGTCTAGGGATTAGGGTTTAGGGTTTGGGGTCTAGAAGGCCCTGCTGTTGAGGTGTGTTCGCTGGCACACAATCCAAGCCCATGCTGAAAAGGGTTTGGGGTCTAGGGATTAGGGTAGGGTCTTGAGTATGGAGGGCTTGGGATTGTCTAGCTCGGTTTGGGATTCTCTACAGGTCGGGGTCATCCGGTAGCTCTGGCTACACTGTTTGTGTAGAGACACCCATGTCACTAAGGATATTGTACAAGGGTCATCCCACTGAAGGCTCCAGGGGAGGCCTGGATCGAAAGGGCGAGTTTGCAACAATCGCTACCCCATACTATTGACCTCTACATCTAGCCACTTTGGCTCAGGTCTCAGTTGGTTGCTGCTAGTCTCAACCCCGCAGCCACGCAGAGCTTCTCCGTCATGATGTGCTTGGGTTTGGTCTCCTTGCAGCTGTTGCTTGCGCCGCAGGCCTTTGCAGAAGCCTCGGTGCCTATGCTCCGTGGCCTCACGCGCGGCCTCGCCGAGCTTCCCAGCTGTGCAGAGAAGCCCAACTTCCACTTGGCACGTGCTTCCTGGTGTGGAGAGCAGAAGGAGCCCTTGGCCTGCTCCAAGGATGTGGACAGCCTGAACCCAATCTGGGACTGCCACCTACAGGCCGAGGCCGGGTGCTCCTTGGGGGGCAGCCCTTGTGCGTGGCCTGAAGGAGGAGCTCCAGCCAGGGAGGTGGGTAGTTCTCTAAATTCGGGTCCCCTTTTAGGTCCCCAATATAGTACGGCACCCTTACAAAAAGGACCCTAAGAGGAACCCTAATTTGGAGCACTACCCAGGTGTCCAGCGACTGGCAGAACCAGAACGCCCAAGGCCAAGCCACGCGCTTCGTCACTTGGAACCTCTACGTCTTCACCTTGGCGGGCCGTATCCATCCTGTCGTGGACGAGCTTCTGCGCATGCAGCCCGAGATCGCAGCCATCCCAGAGATGTGGCACGAGAAGGGTGCCATCCTGGATGTGCTCAACCAGAGGTCCGGCAACGTTTGGGCCTTTGCAACAGGAGGAGCCACGGAGCAGTTCAATGATGCAGACATCTTGTTTAGGACTGACAAGTGGGAGCACATTGCCAGTGACCTCGTTCCGTTCTCGGCAGGCCGTGCCATTAACTGGGCAGCCTTGAGGCGCAAATCCGATGGCTACGCGCTTATTGCATCGGGGACACATCCGCTTTGCTGTCAAGGCGACTACGTCATTACAGAGGCTGTCGACTTCGTGACCAAGACCCTTAGTCAGGTGCAGAACCGTCATCCGTACCCAATCGTCCTCATGGGAGACTTGAACACAGGCTATTTCCAGCCTTCGCAGCAGCTTCTGAGACAAGGACAGGTTGAGGCCTTCGGACGCCACTGGCAAATTCCAATGACGTTCACAGATGCATGGGCCGAGCTTCACCCCGGTAATCCGGACCCCTCCACGATCAACGATGACCCGGTTCGGTTGGACTACGTGTACTTCCAGAAGACGCCGTTTTCCGTGGGCCAGTCCATCGTGCAGTCCCAGATATGGCCACGAGCCGCTGGAAGCGACCACCGGGCGGTCTCCGGGGACGTCGTGCTCAACCGGTGAGGAGCTTGGCCATGTGCCCTAATCCATTGTTCCATGCATGAAATTCGTATCTTGAGACTGCCCCTGGATGGCAAGGATGTCTAGTTCTTCGCTCCGAGAGATAGCTCCGGAGCATTGACCCTGCAAGCGCTTCCTGGTCACGTTGCCATCTATGTTCATGGGCTTCTTGAGTCTGCGTTATTTCTGTGCACCAGCACATGTCAGGCAAGGTTTCAGAGATCATGTAGCTGCAGCTGGACCAGGAGCATGAGTGGAGGAGTATGTACAGGCTTCCTGCGTACGAAACTACTTGATGCCCAACTTGGGCTCAATCCAGTCTTTTGATGTGGCGCTTTGCGCTTGGCTCTGTCCTTCAGTAGCATCATGGAATCAAGAGCAAAGGTACCATAGCTAGTTATTGGAATTAGTATGTCATGTCTTACACCCATGGCCACAATATAGACCATTAGTTAGACAGAGTTCTTCTTTTTTAGTTGCGTTCCTCCACCTCAACCCTATACTACCCTACGGCCTAAACGGGGCTCTTGTTAAGGGATCTCATTTAAGTTACAATATTAAGGAAACCATGGTATTTACTATAGATCCCTATTATGGCAACTGGCAACTTATAAATTTAATCCTTAACAAAGCCCAGTACAGCTTCTGGAGCTTCGGCTCAACAACTCTTTGTAGGCGGCGGAGCTCTCGACTCTCCGGCAGAGCAGAACCTGACATCGAAATCCTTGCATTGCCTGATCTTTCATAGTCTTGAGGGGCGTTTAGTCAGCGCTTCAGGTTTAGAGGGGGCTTGAGGGGTTTAGGGTGTCTTTTGTTGTTGGTTCCGGGATGTCTAGGGTTTGAAAGTTTAGTACAGGGTTTCGGACGATTGGGCTTAGATACCTCAGAGGTAGCTTTCTGTCTGGGTGTTGCTGGAGTCTCTGGAGGCGGCCCAGGCGCGCCGCTCTGAAGTTTTGGTCAGCTGCACTGCTTGTGTCAGCTGAACTCCGACACGGAAAGTCAGCGAAGTTCGGCAAAGGTGGGGGCACCGCTTGTGGGCAATGTCTCCATGAGTCTGTGCCTTTCCGGTCTCTTTGCGTTGGTAAGATAAAATGTGTCTGTGGCTTGTGAAGTTTGACAGGGGCAGGTATTGAATTTGGGGTTGGGGATGGAGGATGGAGCCTGTTTTTGGGCCGGGGTCCTTCGACCAATGTAAGCCTTATGCCCCAAGCCTTAAACCCGTGGAAACCTAACGCCGTGCACCTTGTAGACTTTGTACTTGTGAGCATGGGTTTCACGGTTTCGTTGGTGTAGGGTTTGCGCTGGGCTTCGGTGGGTCATTGCGCGGGTCATTGCTCGGGTTGCAGGGGCTTACATAATAGGGATTATTGGGCTCAGTAGGGTTTAGAAAGTTTTGGAATCCAAGAGGGGCACTGCCGAGGGGAAGTCAAGGTGTGGTTGTAGCTCAGGAAATTTTGCATCCGTGAACCATACCTAGTGTCTCATGTCTCCGACACAAGAAACCGGACGGGACCGAAGTACTTTGGTTCTTTAGGGAAGGGCTGCACAAGAGTGGTACTGGAATTCTGATGGAATACCAATGGTGTGAAGTGCTGAGGCGCTTTTGTTAAACACCACTGCCCCCCCAACAAAAAAGAGTTAAAGCTGCTAGTCAGTAGAACAGAAATGGAAGTTTCTGCTCCTCCGACCGGAAATGTGAGTTGAGCAACACAAAGGACCCTAACACAAACCAAAATACCAGGATCCCAAAATTTAAACGGGCACCCCTTGTATTCATAAACCCCAGCATGTCACAAGCCTGGCTACAAGCCAAGGGTTCGGTATCGGCTAAGACTTGTGGCTTCTACACTGGGGATCGGGTAAATTATTGTAAGAGGCGTAAGAAGTGGGGTTACACCTGGGTCCTGTGGGTGTTCAGTGTACGTGACGTGTATATGCGTACATCCATGCATGCATGCATGTGTGCATGTCTGCACGTATGTCTGTTTTGTCTGTGTGTGTGTGTTTGTTTGTTTTTTGTTTGATAGTTTGGTTGCTTGTTTACTTTTTTGTTTGTTTGTGCGTGTGTGTGTGTGTGTTTGCTGATTTGTTTGTTTATTTGTCTGTTTGCGTGTTTGTTTGTTTGCTTGTTTGTGAGTTAGTTTGTGAGTTAGTTAGGTTGTTGGTTTGTTTGTTAGTTAGCCAGTTAGTTAGTTAGTTAGTCAGTCAGTCAGTCAGTCAGTCAGTCAGTCAGTCAGTCAGTCAGTCAGTTAGCTAGTTAAGTTATTTATTTATTTAGTTAGTTCGTTCGTTAGCTCGTTAGTTCGTTAGCTGGTTGGTTGGTTGGTTGGTTGGTTGGTTGGTTGCTTGCTTGCTTGTTTTTCGTTCGTACAATGTGTATACATACTGTGTGTATATATACACACATATCTATGTATATATCTATGTATATATATATACACATGTGTAATTTTACGTGTATGTATGTGTAGATGTGTGTGTGGTATCTTTTGCACAGGTCTGCTTCGGCCCCAGGCCCTAGAAAATCCCCCTTGACAAAGGCATCGTCCTGGTCGCAGTGCTTATCGACTTGATCCGTGACCCTATCACACAGACACTAGGCACACACGGCTCTGTGAAGGTTCAACGTATTTTTGGGCTGGAAGCTTCCGGATCAGGATTTGGTGGATAATGCAGAAGCTTGCATAACTATGAACACTGTTCCGTAGGCTCGCGAGTTTTAAGTAGACTTTGGCAAGCCCCAAGACCTTATCCAGTTACTCAGGCCCCACATTATAAGCCCTAATCCCTTCAAGGTGCCCTTTAAAGGGCCCAGTATCCTAATTGCAAAGGGCTCGATATTAGGTACGGTGCCAGAACCAGAACCCGATTCTGATAGTTCAGGCTTCTTTATTGAGGAGCCATGGGGCTCCTTGTGAAGTTAAAGCTTCTGTTGAGCAAAGCCTCCGCGGCTTTTGACGGTACCGACCCCGCAGGCTTGTGAGATACGAAGCCTAAAAACCTAGGCCTTGCCATGTAGACTAGAGGGGGTGGGGGGGAGGGGGGGGGTGGAGACTTTAGAAACATATGGAAGCTTGAAAAACAATATCACCGATTGTTCAGGCCTCCAAACTGCCAAAATGGGGGGGAAACGGTAGCTGGCCTACTGGCGGAGGTACGCACAGGACCGGCAACTACCATCGATGCCAACCCAGAAAGGACAGAGTAAGCACCGGAAGCCCCAAGCCCCAAACACTCAACCCAACGAGTCCCCAAACGGTACAGGCCCGGACTATGCTGGCTGGGATGGCTACGCTTTCCTGACAATCGGGATCCCCGTGGTGCTTTTGCGGCTCTCACCGCGCTTGAGCTATCTGTTTACTATAAGTTTACTTATGGGTCCGACCTTCGAACCTTTCTGGCTGAACCAAGTTCATACTACAGGATGCTAACTACAGAGTTGGCGAACCACAAAGGCGTGTAAGTACTAGACTGGAAACTCTGGACAGGATTTGCCTAGACATCCAAAGCCAATGCTGCCTCTGTGGTAAAGGCAGCTAGTCAGCTAGTCTCTATGTAGTCTCTTCGGGCTTTAGGCTTCCATCTGCCTTTGGGTATGTATGTTTCCGCCAGCGGAAATACCTACTAACCTACTATACGGACTACACACCATCAACCCTAAACCCTGACACGCCAACCGTGTATGAATGTGTGTGTGTGTAGGTATGTGTGTGTGTGTATACATGTATATGTATATATATATATATGTATGTATATACGCACACAAATGTACCTACCTACCTGCCTACCTACCTACCTACCTACCTACCTACCTAGCTAGCTAGCTAGCTAGCTAGCTAGCTAGCTAGCTGCCTGCCTGCCTGCCTGCCTGCCTGCCTACTTACCTACATACAGACATGCACGTCATACACGTCATGGACGTACGAACATACATACATGCATGCATACATACATACATACGCACATACGCAACATATACACATAAATAGATGTTGCTGGCTCCATGAAAAAGGTTGCGCAGGGTTGAGATCGTGTTGAATTCAGATTCAGCTCAGGGAGGCACAAACCATCAAAGAGGGAACGATTTAGCGCTTAGGGTTTAGGGTTTAGGGTTCGAAACCCTACCCTCAACTTTGTACCGTAACAGCCGTAACAGCCCTTCGAGCCCGATGCTCTTCGTATGAAGATCGGAGTGCTTAGTGGCACTATCCACTTTTTGTCCATAGTACACAAACACCCGCCCAATTTTTTTTAACCTCGTAAAGCCCACCGCAAAACTATATAGATCTTGTAATATCTTGAGAATATTTGATCTCACTCTTCTGAAGCCCAAAAAACCCCGAAAGCCTCAAATAAAGGGCAGACCCAGGTTGGCTTGCCACTCGAACGGCTGCACAAAGCTGCTCCTGGCCTGCTTCCGGTGGAGGGGTTTAAGGTTTTCGGGTTCGGGGGGAGAAGCGCGAGTTGCGCATAAAGTAGGATGTCGCGGGGACTTATATAAGGTTGTCATAAAGTTTGTTTTGTTTGTTCTGGGCTGTTTAGGGTTTAGTCCGGATTTATGGATTAGCTCGACTGGTTTTAGACCCAAAGGGTCCTAAGTACCCATATGGTAGAATGTAGGGTTTCCATATAAGGAATTAAGAAAGTATCCCCCATAACGGAGAAGGGTTTTGGAAGGGCCTTCTTGGGTGTTGGAAGGGTATTTCGACGGGTGCTCCGAAGAGTTAGTATTGGTTTTATGAAAGTGTTTAAGACAGGATTTCAGCAGGGAATCATGGAGTGTTGCATGGCGTTTGTTAACGCCTATGGGTTTCGAGCTTTGAGGTTCCATTTAAGACTTTCTCTTTGAAGGTTGAGTCAGGGTAAGGGTCCTTAGGGTGAGGAAATTAAGTGTCTTGGGCCTCTGCCTCGAGTGTAGAGCTTTATGGCTCCGTGCGAGAGCCCTAACACGAAGCCAGAACTTGAAAGCCCCCAAAGACCGCACGCCTCAAACTCTACGCGGT